AATAAAAACAAATATATTATGGTGCTTGATTATCTACCTCAGATTCTGATCATTCGTTTGTTTTCTCTGAAACAGGAACAGGAGTGCTATATGAAGAACAATTATATCAAGAAGCTTTTGGACAGGGCCTCGTCAAGGAATAAATAGCAGAGAGCTGCACTGCCTTAATAGCAGCAGGTCCAATGTAACCTGCACTTGCACTAGATTAATCAGGATGCTATGTAACTTAAGCAAGCAGGTACCCTGCATGATAGACAGATATTATTCTGATCTGCTTTCCTTTTCATGGACCCGCCCGCTTGTTGTTACGCGTGGTATTTGCAGAATTAGTCACCATTGTTGAATCAGTTCCAAGTTAGCGACGTGGTTTGTATGTGGCTCTAACGCGGCAGTAGAACTAAAACGTTGCTTCGAGGCTACATAGGTTCAGCATGGCTTTGGTGGGGCGAGTTAGAGAATTATGTGTTAGTAACAAACAGGCACTTAACATATATTTATGCATGCAGTAGTATTTAGTTAAGACTTAAGACTGAACCAGTATGCAGTAATGTACTCCTACTAACTAATGCCTGGTGTTTCTGTTGAGAGGACTAAGTGAAAACACTGCTTGATTGATTATCATATATCAAAGCTGAATGTAGTAGACAGGTGAAACTCTATCTGTAATTGTCCATCAAAATTTTGTCCATCGGCAATCCTCACATGCTCGGTTTCCATCTCGGATGGATGTCCTTCACAAGCGTTGTCTCAACCTTCGCTGCCCCGCCGCTCATCACCATCATTTGTGACACCTCAACCTCACCAAGGCCGACATCGGCAATGCCGGGTCGCCTCTGCCTTCGGCGGCATCTTCTCCAGGCTAATAATGACCTTCTCGACATGCTCTATGGTTGCGCTTTCCTCGTCATGATTTCCGTGCCAGCTGTTTTCTACATGTCCATCATCGACGGTCCTGCTGGATACATCACCGTCCGCTTTCGCATTGGTGTCTGGCTTGGCACATTCATGGTGTGCTAGTAATGGGTGAGCACCATGTTTAATCGCAAGATCATTGCGGTGACCCAGCAGTACCTCTGCACGATGTAGTATGCCAGTTGTTGATATAACACTCATAAGACGTCGTCTTATGAATTATATCCCTCAAAGTATACAACAGAAACATTCGGGGTCCAAACCACTATTACATTACAGATTTATTCAAACAAAAATCCAAACATTTGAAAAAAAAATCAAACAACTGAATTGCGGGGTACCACTATTAATCATGCGATCACTTATTAAGTTCAGATCATGGATTTATTGATCACTTCTTTTTAATCATTTTACCATGATTTTCTGATTTCTATAGCAACCTATATCTTATATTTCGAAATCTGCAATATCCGTCTTTCTACACGAAACTATTCTGGCCACAAAGGCGCGTAGGGGAGCGGCGACAGCGGCGCGTTGGCGTCTCGTTCTGCCAGCCCAGCACTAGAGGTCATTCGGGGGTCTCGGAATCTCAATGTAAGTTATTATGTTTGAGATGCTTTATACTTTCGGTTAATTTTTTTATAATAGACCTGACGTTTTTGAAAAAAAACTGTACTCAACAAATTCATCACGGTTTAAAGATTTCTGAGCCAAGGTCGACCTGGGCCACGACCGTTTTGAACTGACCGAATATGGGAGTCAACATGGGCCGTGTAGTTGGGCCTGAGGAAGTCGAGATGAGGAGGTTTCGGTGACAATGGCATCATGCTCCAGACCCTCCGCGGCGACGGCGACGGCGGCGCCTCCATTGCGGGTCGGTGGGTGTGGCGAGTCATCAGGGTGGACGCCACGAGCAGTCTTTTTGGCCCGCTGAGGACCGGACCTATCGGTCCTGAACATCATCCGCTCACCACAAGCAACATAAAGTTTTGTTAAGAGCCCAACACAAATTAACAGAACTTCACCTGCTCCCCTGAGAACAGTTGAACCACTCAGACATCTTAAAAGATGGCTTCCTCACTCTTCCACTACCTGCAGTTCTTGGGGGGATGAACTTGTTTCTTTCTCTTGGCCCAGCAGTAGCAGAGGAACTTGGACCAGCACCAGCAGTAGAAGTTGCAGTCCTTATTGTTTTAGTTTTCTTTGTTGCCCTTGTAGCAGGAGGAGCTACTGCTGCAACAGGAGCAGAAGGAGCTCTCCTTGGTGCACTGGGAGCTGCAGCAGGAGTAGAAGGAGCTCTCTTTGCTGCCCCTAGAGCCCTTGGAGCAGCTGGAGTTGGAGCTGGAGCTGGAGCTGCAGTTGGAGCAGTAGGAGGAGCAGTAGAAGAAGGAGCCCTTCTCCTTGGTGGCATGGGAGCAGGAGCAGAAACAGTTCTAGGTTTATCACATCTCTTATGTTTCCTTCAATTACAACATAAAAATGTTAGAAACTGGTATGTGAGATTAATATAGAAAAACCGACAACAGTAGTTACCTGGTGCTGGTTCATTCTCATTGCTAGGGCTGGTTTAAGAGCCTGCTTGCAACTAGTGTATTTATGTCAAGTCCTATTGCAATTGCTACAAGTGATAGTTGCCATCCTAGATGTATCCTTTGGAGCTGGCTTTTCAAACTTGCTCTTTCTCCTCTTTGACTCTTTGTTTCCTGGTTTCTCTTTGAAAACCGGTGGTTCAATGTCAGGGGTTATAGTCTTTGGCCACAAATCAGGCCCAGGCCCAGGGAAAACTATTGGACTGTAAGCTGCCTTATACATTGGTTTCTTGAAGAAATCATAAACAAAATCTTTTGGCTGTAGTTTTGCCTTGTTGATTGCAGAAACACCACGATTGCAAGGAACTCCACACATTTCCCACTTCCTACAACCACATGTATGCATCAACAAGTTAACTGCATATGTGCTTTCTCCACTTACCGCCTGGAAGAGATCAGGTCCAGCTTTGATAGACTGACAAAACCTAGAATGATGTTTTGATTCCTCTAACTTCTCAGCATATGTTGGGCATATCTGCCACTTAGCATTCTTAGTCTTTGTCCTATTTGCATTAAACTTTACTAACAGCTTTGTTTTGATCCCATCTACCATAGTTCTAATGGGTTTGGCTTTGACAGCGAGTATCATCTTGTTAAAAACTTTATTTATATTGTTCACTACCAAGTCAGTTTTGCAATTGTTGTCCATGGCATGCCTAGCCCATGTATGTTTTGGTATCCTAGATAGCCATTTCCAAGCTGGCTCACACTCCTTTTTCATGCCTTCCATTTCTGTTACATAACCATGCTTAGTATAGGAATAACTTGCCTGATACATGTATTTCTTCAACTCTTCCCCTCTAAAACCAGCTATTTGAAAGTTCTGATAAATATGTCTAAGGCAAAATCTTTGTTTGCAATTGGGGAATACATTGTTTATGGCTGTAAGAAGGCCCTATTTGAATGAACTACAATTTGAGAATACTACAACAATGCCATGTATGAAATTAATAAACAATGCCAATTAATAAGCAATGCAATGATTGGAGTAGAGAGTATCTTCCGCCTGTCAGATATAATTGTGTAGTAGCCAAACTTGCCTGACTCACCACCAATGGCCTATTTTAATTCAGTAAGAAACCAAGACCAGCTTGCTGTGTTTTTCTTGTCCACTACTGCAAAAGCAATGGGAAATAGGTTATTGTTTCCATCTCTTCTAGTGGCAGCCAAGATTTGCTGCCCTGCTGTCAACTTTATAAAGCAACCATCAACACTTATCACACAAGAACACAAGTAGAATACAAACAAATTAGTGGGTGTGCACATACAAATGTAGATTCACTAGTTAATTGGTGGGTGTGCACATACCTATGAATGGTCTGCAACCATTCAGGAAACCCTCTTTGCAAGCATTGAGGCAGATGAACAAGCCATGGAATCTTGGGTTCTTGCTGGGATGTAGTTTTAGATGCTTTGTTGTGACAATGCATCTACTTCCTGGATTGGTTACTAGCACATGTTCTAGGTAGTCCCTTATCCAATGATATTGTGCCTTTTGATCTCCTAGGACTACATTTTTAGCTAGCTTTCTTGCCCTATAGGCCATATGTATAGATACCTCTATTCCATGCTTTTGCTTCAAGTTTGAAATTATAGTCTGGACAGGTGTGTTGGGGTCTGTCCTCAATTGTTGCTCACATTCATGTGCCAACCACTTAGTAGTCACTTTTGTGCTCTCTCCTACTACTAGGAAGTTGTGGTGCAAGTTTAGTTTCTTTGTACAGAATGTCCTCTCATGTGCTATTAGAGAAGCTGCAATGAAAAATGGACAATTTTCAAATTTGCAGACTGCTATAATCCTGTCTGGACAGTTCCTGTCAAAGGCAGGGTTCCTATTCTGTGAGATGTGACAATTAAGAAGTGCCCTCGTGAACTGGGTCACATCTAGGAAACAAAGTTTCTTCATAAATTGATCTTCTAGGTTCTCTCTTTGCTCATCATACCAAAGTCTGGGCTTCTTCTTTTTATCCCTGCTCTTCCTATCAGCTGGAAGCTTAACACATGGTTTTTGAGCCCCATCATTGTCCTCCCGACTTAGGTTAGCAGGGTTGCTCTCCTCGTCAGATGAAGGAAACCAATCTTCCTCAATAATCTCATCCAAACTAGCATGAGATCTTGTGGTTGGCCCCTTTCTTTTACTTCCTCTGCTACTTACTCCTCTGCTGCTTCCTTCCTCCTCCTCTGGTGCCTTATCCTCCTCCTCCTCCTCCTCCTCATCTACTTCATATGGCTCATCCACATCAGTGCCCCCATCAATATGATGAAGTGGATCATCTCTATGCTTCTTCATTGCCTCAAGCCTAGCAATTATATCCACATCTGCTAGTAAATCTGTGTCACTGTCACTACCAGTGAAATCTTCAGCCATTAGCTCTGGAAGTTTTCTTTTAGCTACCTTGTATTTCTATTTTTCTTTACCCTTTTCCCTGAACTTCTCAATCTCTTCATTCCTCTTCTGCTCCATCAGTTGCCTAATTTTCTCTTGATCTTGGTCTTGCTCCATGAAATACTCATGCCTCTCTTCACCAATCTCCATTGCAAATTCTGGTACTGGTGGACACTTCTGCTTCAAAAATGAACTCTCCTGTGTGTT